GGGGGGGGGGGGGGGGAGAATAAGATCTTTGATAGAGAAACGGTTGGAGAATGCCCCTTTAATATTGTTAATGGCCTGCAAATTATTTTATGTAAGAACAATGTCGTCTACGTAGACGAGCAAGAAAATAATAGTGTCCTGAGCATGTAAGATGAATAAAGAGTGGTCAGAATGAGCCTTGCAAAAACCAACAGAGATAAGAAAATTTGTAAGCTCAGTGTACCAAGCACGGGGTGCCTGCTTTAGGCCATAAATGGCCTTGTTCAATCTGCAAACATAATTCGGGTAATTGGGATTCTCAAAACCTTTAGGTTATTTCATGAAGACTTACTTTGTCAGTGTACCTTGTAAAAAGGCATTGTTTATATCTAATTGATGAAGGGGCCACATGTTTTGTGTGGCGATGGCAAGTACTGTTCGTACTGTTGCTGGTTTGACAACGGGACTAAAGGTGTCAGCAAAATCGATTCCAGGCCGTTGAGTGAAACCTTTTGCAACAAGACGAGCCTTGTAATGTTCAATCGAACCATCAATTTTACGCTTGACATGAAATATCCATTTATTATCCACTATTTTTTGGTGATCCGATGGTGGGAAAAGATCCCATGTTTTGTTGGTCATGAGAGCTTCAAACTCACTTTGCATAGCTTTTCTCCACTAGGGGTCCTTGGATGCTTGTTTGACTGTAACCGGTGGTATTTGGGATGTAAGGGTGGCCATGGACGCATACTTTGGGTTGGGCTCAATTATTTGATATTGGGAGCGAGTGACAGGGCGACGTGGTGGTGAAGGCTGTTTAGTCTCAGAAGAGATGTCAAGTTTAGTTGACTCGTACTATTGGGGAATGGAATCTGAAGAAGAGCGTGTGTGTGAAGTAGCATGGGGAGCACACTAAGTAGTAGGGGAAGAAGCATCAAGAGGGGAGGAATTTACCTGATTGTGTTGGACACCATTGTATTCTGACTAAGGGCACACAACTATTTGAGAAGAAGATAATGAATCTGAATTGGATGTGGAATTAAACCAGGAGATATTATGATAAGATCCTTTATATTTGGAAAAAAATATTTTCATATGGAAAAATATTTTCCAAGAACTTGACATCTCTGGAGAAATATATTTTTGAGGATTCGGGATCAAAGCACTGATGACTGTGAGAGTGGGTAGAAAATCATAAATAGACACATGGTGTAGATCTTGGTTCTAGTTTATTTTTGGTATATGATTTTAGCCAAGGATAGCATAGACAACCGAACGTAAAAATTGAGAAAATATTAGGAGAGGTACTGGAGAGAGCTTGATATGGGGAATATTACCAATGGATGGTGTAGGAAATCTGCTAATTAGATAAACAGCAGTTTGGCAAGCAAAACTCCAAAATTGTAGCGGTAGAGATATTTGGTGAAGCAGGGTTCTTGCAGTTTCAATAATGTGCCTATGACGTCTTTCATCTAAGGCAATTCTTTGAGGGGTACATAGGGGAGAGGATAAATGTTGAATACCAAATTCAGCAATGAGTGATTTTAATCCTTTAAATTCTCCTCCTCCATCCGAATAAAGGGTGAGGATCTTAGTATTGAAAAAGTTTTCAATGAGTTGTCGAAATTCTGAAAAGGCCTTGAAGACATCAAATTTTTATTTAAGTGTATAGAGCCAAATGTATTTGGTAAATTGATTGACAAAGATAACGTAATAAAGCTTTTTATACAGGGAGAGAAGGGGTGAAGGACCCCAAACATCAGTGTAAAGTATTTCAAAGGGCTTTGAACTGCACAAAGAGTTATGCGAAAAAGGAATCCTGTGGCTTTTATTACAATTGCATGAATTACAAGAGTATAAATTTTCAAAATAAGACAATTGATGATTGCTTAAGAGAAACTTCAAAAGACGGATATTAGGATGTCCTAAACGACAATGCCACATAGATAAAGGAACTTTTGATGTATTTGTCGTGTAGGCTGTTGGAGATGAATGTTTTGAAATTGTAAGCTTTGGCCATTCGTACAAATCATCTCTATTCTGGCCTTGTAATAGCGGTTCCCCCGTAGTCAGTGCCTTCACAACAAAAGTCGAAGGAAAGAATTCAATAGATGTTTAGTTTTGTTGACAAAATTTTGAAACAAATATAAGATTCTTTGTAATAGATGGAGCACATAAAATGTTATGTAATGAAAAAGAATGAAGTGGAGTGTTTAGTGTAGTAGAACTAGTGTGGGTGATCGGAATACCATTACCATCACCCATTGAAACTTTTTCAGAACACGTGTATTCATGTGGAGATACTATGCTCTGAGGATCAACACTAATATGATGTGAGGCACCAGTATCCAGAATCCAATGAGCAGTGTTGGGAGAATTCCGAGAAAGCATACATAGCCTTCGCTTCAAAATGGTTATGTGATTTTGAATGACAAATATTTACAGTATGGCCAAATTTTTGACATAACTGACATTGAATTGGCATTTTGGCATGCAACGGAGTCGAGGGATGCCATGGCTGGGAAAAATTTCCATTGCTTTAAAAATTCTGGGAACACCATTGTTGTTGTCCAATAGGAGTAGTTCGCAGACACCATTGAGGCTGGCCAAACTAACGATGAGTTTGCCTGTTGCTATTGTTATTATTATTGACTGTTCACTGTGCAACTTGAATAGCCATGGGAGTTACTGATTTCTTCTTTTCAGCTTGCTTGAGATAAAGTTCATGATATGTGAGCTTGTATGCCAATTCTTCGTATGATATAGGCGAGTCCCTTGATCGAATAATAATACTCAGTGCTTCGTATCCGGGTCCGAGAACGCTCCGTATTTTCACAACTAATTCTTCATTAGAAATGCGAGCACCGGCAGCAACTAACTCATCAGTGATTGTTCGTGATCTCGCTGAACTTTGGCTAGTGCATCTCCAAGACTATAGATCCGGGTTTGAGATCTATTCGCATATGTGGTATGCAAATAATCCCATGCTTCTTTTGAAGTTTTAGAGGAGGCAACATATGGTGCAATAGTGGAATTGAAAGATGCCATTAAGGCATTGCCGATGAGATTATCTTGCTGAAATCAAATTTTGAAATCTGAATTGGCAACATCTTGAGGTGGTGTTATAAATCCATCAAGAAAACCCATCAAGTCAAAGTAATTCATGACCTTTTGAGTTTGAGCTTTCCATGTTGCAAAGTTTGCACCACCAACAAGTTTGATAGGAAGCTGTGCAATTGGGTTGATGTTAATAATATGTGTTTTGGTTGCAACAACATCAATAACTGTGGGAGAGGTATTGTTTTGAAGAACAAAGGGGTTGACTGGATAATTGTTGTTTGGATTAGTGCCTGAAGCAAATGAGTCACCCATTGATTTTTTGGTGGTTTAGAGGGGAGGGAAAAAAAAGGATACTTTGTGAATAAGATGGAGAAGATGATTTTGGAGTCTATACTCGTTTGAGTGTTTGTTGCCCTGATATCATAAATGAGCAGAGTAAAGGGAAAAAGACATGCTGTGTATCGTTTATAATGTGCTCTTTAAATACATGTGAATTGTGTGGGAAGGAATCCCACAATATCAGTAAAAATAACATATAAAAAATCAAAGCTGTAAGAATCAGAAATATACAGTAATGAAATCAAGAATAAAAGATATTGATTTGGTGAATATTCTATCCTAATTTAGCTCTATTAGTTGGAAGCTGGCTATAAAGGTCTGCAGTCTGAAGTTCAAATTAATTTCAAGCTTTTAAAGATTTGAAGTTAGGCCCGGTAAATTTTCAACTTCAGTCTCGCATGTCTGATTTTGATTCTGAAGCGTTAAAGTTAAAATACTTTATAAATTTTAACTTAGCAAAGTATGTTGGGTTAACATTTTTAAGACCAACATTTATATTTTAACCTCATTAAAAAAATCTTAGATGTTTTAGCCTTTTGTTATATTTTCTTCTTCTTCTTCTTCTTACCTCTGCATCTTCTTCTTATCCTGCTTTATCCTTCTGCCTTTTCTTCTTCTCCTTTCTCCCTTTTCTTCTTCTTCTTCTTCCAATAAATTATGCACACAAAGCTATACAAAAAAGGTATTAAAATACATGGTATAAAAAGTTAAAACTTCATTACTTATATTATCTATCTTTAATGATTTGAATTGGTTTGGTCGGAGAAACGTAAAAAATATCATTTGTTGGTTTTTGTTTCAGCTTGAAAAAAAAGCTTGTTCAATAAGACCAAATAGGTGTATTAATTTTGAAGGTTTAAGTTGAATCTAACCATTGAAAATCATTGAAATTGATATTAGAAGGCTGTATATCAAACTTTGAGTAATTTGTATTGGTATGGATCGATTTTAAAGCAAAAACATAATGGTAATTTTTTGCAGGACAATTATGGAAATGGTCAGAATTTATGGCTAACTATGACGATTTATCAGGATTTTTGAAAATCAGTTATGGAGATGGTTAGAATTTATAGCCAATTACGACAATTGCAATGATTGTTGCAAGTCAGTTATGACGATGGTCAGAATTTATAGCTAATTGTAAAGAATTCATACAAATCAGTTATAACGATGGTCAAATTTTATAGCCAATTATGATGATTACTAGTTTTTTGCAAATCAATTATCGCGATGGTAAGAATTTATGGCTAGTTATAATAATTGGTTAGAGATTTTGATCATCGACATAAGACAAGAAATTCTGACGAGTGTACTTTAAAATTTTGACATGAGGCTATTCTCTCAAGAATGCTTTTAAAGAGGTCAAAATTCATCGGTGGCACCAAATGATCCTATTTGTGCAAATCACTGGTCCTCTAAGCGGCTATTCACTTGCAACAATAAGAAGCTGAGCTGGCCGGCCCAGTTTCACTATGGTTTAGGGCCTTAGACCAACTTAGGCCAAAATATGGGCCTAAGCCCATCCATTACGAGTTCAAAATCAATAGAAAAACAAACGTATTAAAGGTCTGTTTGGCAAAAGAGGTTATACACACAGAGGAAGAGAACTTTAGAGCTGCCGGTTGATTTTCACTTTCTCTTTCTCTTGGAGAAGAAGTTTTAGTTTTTCCGCTTCAGATTTCGAAAGAAGCAAGCAATAATGGACGTAATCAAGTCGCAGCAAATATCAGCTCGGCCGATTGAGAAAGTGATAGTACATCCGCTGGTACTTCTGAGCATCGTAGACCACTATAATAGAGTTGCGAGAGACACCAGGAAACGTGTTGTTGGGGTTTTGCTTGGGACTTCTTTCAAAGGCACCGTTGATGTTACCAATAGCTATGCAGGTCTCAGATCTATATATTCACTTTTGCCCTTTTATGGAATTTTAAGTTTTTCAGTTGTGTTTTTTAATTACAGAAATAAAAGTTTGTTAGGTTTCGTATGAGTTAACTAGTAAAAGAAAAGTAAGGGCAAACTATGTGAACTACATTGTGAAATAACAATTAGTTTGCTTTTATTTATGGGATTATGTTTTACTTGATGGGTTTTATGTTTTTTCTTGTGTGGCTCTCTGTGTCATTTCTGATCTTTCCTTTGTATTTGGATAGAATTGACCTGAATAGAGTGAAATTGACGCGAAGATTGTATAGCTGACCTAAACTAGTTAACAATAAAGTAGTTGATTGTTATTTTTTTTCTGTCTCCTGATGGAAATAAAAGTTAATTAGTTTAGGTTTTCTTCTGAGCTAAGTTACGGAAAGAAGATGGGTATTGCTCTAAAAAAGAAAAAGGTAAGAAAAGATCAAAAGAAAAAGGGTAAAGTTCTTGCCTTGAATTAGGTATACGTAATTGATCGTGCATCCAAGGGTGTGACCTAGTAGTCATTGAAGAGGGAGAATAGAACTATGAGGTCACAAGTTCAAATACTAACGGAGGCAAAAAAACGCTAGTGATTTTTTCCCATCTGCCTAGGCCTTGGTGGTAGAGTTACTTAGTGCTTATGCTGTTAGAGGTAGCATAATAATAGTGGAAGTAGAGGAGATGCGTGCAAGTTGGTACACCATCGTAATAATCAGTGTTTTAAAAGGCGTGGGCATAAGGCGAAGCGTTTTACATTTGGCTCAGCGAGGCGTAAGCCTCACAGGTATTTAATTTTTAATATTTTATAAAATAATATAATTACAGTAAATATTTATAAACAGGTAAAATTGCATAAAAATTGAAGAAAACTATAAATATGTGAAAAATATGTATATAGATGTGTTCCATACTCACAAAAAAACTAGTCAAAACAATCTATTATACGCTACTTACAAGCAAAAGTAACTTGAGTCGAAAAGAATAAAGTTTTCTACATGGAGGAACAAAAAGGATGACTAACCTGCAATTTGAACTTTGAACTTGCTCCTGTGAAGGAGAACGTAGTTCTTTTTGTATTTGTAAAAAGAAAAATTGAATATTCATTGCTTTTGGGTGATATTAGCAGACTAGCGGACAAGATAAATAATTGGCAAAAATTATAAATTAGGGCTTCAATCAATAAAAAAGGTTTTGACTTTTAAATTTAATATATTTCAGTTCCTTTTTAAAACTTTTGAGTAATTACAAGTTGACTTTTGAGAATTTGGGTATTATATGAATGACTTATTCAACTAATTTTGTTTTAATTTGAAAAAGTCTCTTGGGCTTACGCCTCACTACAAAAATGCGCCTCAAACGCCCGGGCGCACGCCCTGAATTAGCCTCTTGAGACTTTAGCCCCACACCATCGCCTCGGAGCATTTTTGGTGCGCTTTGCCTCGGGGTTCGCCCCGAAAACGCCTTTTAAAACACTGGTAATAATAATAATAACTACCTAATCACCGGGAAATTGTAACATGAAATTCAATCTGCCTAGTTATTTTGGGTGAATACATCAAGGAAATAAACTGAAGTGGAGCTAAATATAGTTGAGTTGGCCCTAGAGCCAAGAGGCTTTTGTTTGGTGGTCAATGTTGACTTGGCGTTTAGATGTATGCTTACAATTTAGAGAAATATATGGTTTTTTAAAGAGCGGATCTGTTTTTTCTGTCTGTTGGGAGGTCTTGCCTGGAGCTTGGAAAAGTAATAAGCTTTTGGTTGTCTAGAATGGGAAAGAGAAGCTAGAAGTAATATAAAGTGGCTTCTTTTTAGTTTTTAATGTTTCACATGAATTATGCTACATTTCTGGAAGGAGGAATTGGTGTATTCTTTGTTCTGGTAATTACTTAGATTTGTCGCTTTATTCTTCTTTAGTAGAAAATCATATTTCTGTGTAGGTTTTCTACAACAACAACAACAACCCAGTATAATCCCACTAGTGGGGTATGGGGAGGGTAGTATGTACGCAGACTTTACCCCTACCCTGGGGTAGAGAGGCTGTTTCCGATAGACCCTCGGCTTCCTCCCTCCAAGAACTCCCCACCTTGCTCTTGGGCGACTCGAACTCACAACCTCTTGGTTGGAAGTGGAGGGAGTTACCATTAGAGTAACCCACTAGAAAATCATATTTCTGTATAGGTTTTCTACTGTTTTGGTATACTGCTTGTATACGCGGTTTTTCCCCATCATTAATAAAATTATTACTTCATCAAAAAACTTAGATTTGTCGCTTTATTGTAAAATGTTCTTGCCTCTTTGCAAAGCTTGTCAAGGAAAGACAGAATACTCATGATAAAAGGCTTTTAAAATGTGTGATAATTGGCTTTATATTGTAAATCTTATTCTAGAAAAGTAAGGAAATTTATGTTGGCTTGGGGAAAGATAGAATACGGCTTATCCTATCAACTCCTCAAAATTATTTTTACTGAAGTGAATGAAAATAAGAAAATTCTAAACATACTTTGGTAACTGACACAGTTAAGCTGATTGCTGAATTTTGAGGGAAAGACTGGCATCTAGCTTTCCTGTGGAGATACAGTATCAGTTAGACGGTCTATATAAACTCATACTTAGTGGAATGCCGTTATCACTGTGAAACCAATGCAATATCTTGAGGTTCAAATGAATAACCTTCTTTAGATGGGTTCATTTAGTCACCAATGTGACAAAGTAGTCACTAATACGATAGACCCTTGTGGTCTGGCCCTTCCCTGGACCCCGCGCATAGCGGGAGCTTAGTGCACCGGGCTGCCCTTTTTAGATGGGTTCATTCTGCTGGAATACTTTACCCTTTTCCATGTTTTCTTCTGCCTAAATCAAGAGCTTTGTCCAGCCTTTATCTATTTAACTGTTGTGATTTTACCTAACATCTTTTGTTGTTGCATGCAGTGCCCTTTGAAGAGGATGACAGGGACCCAAGTATCTGGTTTCTTGACCATAACTATCATGAATCAATGTTTTCCATGTTCCGTAGGATAAACGGTATGTTTATTCCGTACGACGTGGTTTTCAGTTCATGATTTTATTTAGAAGTATTATCACCTGTAAGGTTCATACTATTTTTGACTTAATTGTTTCAGCCAAGGAGCATGTTGTTGGCTGGTATAGCACTGGTCCAAAACTTAGGGAAAATGACCTGAACATCCATGGGCTTTTTAATGAGTAAGGACATTACCTTTTTTTTTTTTTCCGGTTCGGAGATCCTATTTGACCTTTAGTTTTTTGCTATGTTGTTCGGACTCTCCGAAAATGTTGCCGGATGCGTGTCGTATTCTCCAAAAGCAGTGTATTTTTGGAGAATCCGACACGGGTGCGGCAGTATTTTGGAGAGTCCGTGCAACATAGATTTTTTGAGAATTATTTGATCTTTAGTTTGTCAACATGAGAATCTGTCGTGATCGAATATGCCTGGATGCTTTTTTCAAGCTACAAGCTTTACTTATCAAATGAATCTATTAGAGGGAACGGGAAACTACAAAAAGAGAAATTGGGGACAGACTGCTTACATCACAAATGAGGGGTACACCTAAAAAGAAAAGAAATTAATAGACTTGCAGGCAAAAAGCCAATGTCACAGGAAATGGTTGAAATGCGCAAGTCAAACTAGTTTACCTCCCTGTTGATCTTGTACTAGTCACTTGATTGAACAACTTTCCTTGTTGACTTCCCAACCCCCATTAAGGCAATTTAAATAGCATCTTCATGGATGTACAAAACTTTCAACTCAAAACTCCTTTTTGGGGGGATAAGGTACTTTCAACTCTAAACAATTTTTTTTTTTTAAGTCGAATTTCATGGAATTAAATCGCCTTGATGGTGCCAAACTCAAAACAACTTTACACATGATTATTTTCTAATTAGTTTGCAATACTAGATTTGTAAGATAACTTTGTATAGATTTTGATAGTAGTATTAACATTGGCAAAAGAGGTGTTAAGTGTATGTGGGAGTTGTGGCTTGTTCTTTCCCATTTGCTACATTTTAAGGAAGCAACTTATATGCAAAAGTTGGGTAGATGTCTCCAATGGGATATTTTATCTATTGCTAAGAAAGGTTCCCATTATATGAAGGTGGGTATGTGGGGAGTACCATTCCATATGCAATTTTTTAAAAGCCCTCCCGAACTATATCAGTGCCTCACATCCTTTTTTTTTTTGTTATTTTTCGCACCTTATCTAATAGCCTGTTTGGCCAAGCTTCTAAAATCAGTTTATTTTGAGAATTGATTTTTTCAAAAGTACTTTTCAAAAAAGTGATTTTTGGTGATAAGCAATTTGTGTTTGGCTAATTAATTTGAAAAGCACTTTTGAACAGTAATTAGTGTTTGACCAAATTTTTAAAAACTACATCTAAGTGTGTTTTTCTCAAAAGTGCTTCTCAGAAAAGTGCTTTCGAAGAGAAGCTGCTTTTTTCTGCTTTTCAAAAACTGCTTCTGCTTCTACTCAAAAGCACTTTTTTCCTTCTAAAAGCTTGTCCAAACACCTCACTTTTTGGAAAAAAGCACTTTTGGCCCCAAAAAAAGCTTGGCCAAACAGGCTATAAGTCTTCCAAAAGTCTTTGGAGACTTGCCATGTTGTGATATTTCAATTTTCAGAAAGCTCCATTATTTTTCTCTAAGCTGAACTGCTGTAGGAACAAATAGTAAAAGCCAGAAAGCTTTTTGGGTTACTGAAGGCGGTAGTAACATAGACTTCTCTAGTGCTAAAGTAAATAAATTCTGTACATCTTATGAAGAAATGGCTTCCCGTTCTCTTTAGGTTCTATTCAATGTGTCTTTTCTGTTAAGGCCATGTGATTGCTGTATGAATTTTCACGAAAATTTTCATCCTCGTTTTGCTCACTTTTTCACCTGCTATAAGCCCTGCTCTGCGCTGATGCACCTTAATGAGCCAGGTGGCTTACATTAGAGGTATAACTTCTACTCAAAGCTGTCTTCTATGAAGCTACCAAGTTTTATGTTGGTCATCCTAGGAAAAATTATTTCTTGTCTCCTGGATTGATTTTCTCTGAACAAGCTAGTCTTAAGGGCAAGCAAGAACATTGCTAAATCGACCTGCCCAAGCCAAAGAAACCAAAATTCCAGCTATGCTAGCAGTTAAACCTTTCAAAACCAGCCTAAACTGAACTAGCCATGAGATACAGACTACATTGTAAGCAGATATATATATATATATATATGATGCAAAGTACGGGGTACAAATTAGAAAGTTGCTTAAAATTGCTCCTCTTTATTTTTTCAAGAGAGTAAATTTCTTTGACTTGTGGCAACGATGTCTTAAGCATTGTATCTTTTGTGCTATAACCTAAATATGCTGCTTATTATTGCTGGTGTTATTGCAGCTATGTCCCCACTCCAGTCTTGGTTATAATTGACGTCCAGCCCAAGGAGCTCGGAATACCAACTAAGGCATACTATGCAGTTGAGGAAGTTAAAGAGGTAACGACTTAGATTAGCAGTTGATTATTTCTAAAAGCGTTTGGTGCTTGTTGACATTCATAAGCTGGTTGTGCTATGAACTTGATGTGCTGGACGGGTAAATTTGCAGAATGCAACTCAAAAAAGCCAGAAGGTGTTTGTGCATGTACCTTCAGAAATTGCTGCTCACGAAGTTGAAGAAATCGGTACAACTTCAAGCTTGTCTTTTTGTTCTGTAATTTACTGTTGTTTTACTTGTAAAATTTTAACTTAAAACTTCTGTTCTTTTTCTTGATTTTGTAAGTAGTTTCCCGATCTTCTCCATTGCAAGTGACATATTCTAATTGACAGGTGTTGAGCACTTGCTAAGGGATGTGAAAGATACTACAATCAGTACTCTTGCAACTGAGGTTTCTTTCTGAACCTTCTTATGAACTTTTTACATTAAAAAAATAGACAATGATAAGTTTGGCTTCTTAACAAGTAGAGGGCAATAAGAACTTTGAACACTTCCAATCCAGG